TATTAACGTGGAGGTCACAGTTCCCTACCCCTTCTACTCAGACATGATGCTGGTAACTTCTATTGACAACATAGTGAAGTACCAGAAAATGAACTTCTGTTTTTCTCCGGGACACTAAACTTCTCTGTGCAAAAATGGGTGAATTCAGAGATCAAAAGGTCTAAAGTGCAGTGTGGTGGACTAGAAAGAGTCTGAGGTAAGAGTCAATAAATCTAGAATTTTTCCTTCTGAGCTCTTCCATTTGGTGTAATGTTATGAGCATAACTTCTGGAGTCAGATGGGCCTTTCTGCTTGTATTACACTGGTCAAATGACTCGGCCCCTCTGAGCCTCAGATTCACCATTTGTAAAATGGAATTCTGTAGATATGTGGGAACATCTCCCTCCGGTTGTGAGCAAAAGCACTGCCTAATTCTTCCTGGGAAGTGAAACACTTAGTTGACCAGCTCCATATCTATACTCCAAGAAGATGTCAATGATACCCACACTCTTAGCACAGGAATTCACAGTTACATGTTTGAGGCTCATCATGGGGCCTTTCAGAGATCTTGCTGAATCTTTGTTTATGCTAGGAATTTCCAGATGCCCCTACACAGAGATAATAGCAAAGGTGCAGATAGCAGCTCACACTTAAAAACTGGTCTGGCACTCTAAATTCACCTGGGAAAAGGTTAACACATGAAAAAAGTCAGTTTGCTCAAGGTGGGTGATTTTTGATAACATTACTAAACCTCCCAATTCTTTTTTCTTTAGGTAGGGGGTACTTCGCCTCCTTCACTGTAATACTTGATTTATTCTTCAGGATTAAAGCAGCAGCTATATCCTAATGTTCATTCAATTTTAGGATAACCACAAAGGTTTCATGAATGTGAAATGCTAGTTACACAAATATGAAATGGATCTGTGATGAAGATACTGGGTACATGATATAACAAAGTCCCAAAGGCATTTCACCTGGGACCTGAGCTTTCCTTCTAGAACATCAGCAAACAGTTCAAAATTAATGTAGCACACCATGCAATTTGCCATATAGCTACACTAGCCTGATAATTTTTTTCCTCATTATATAAAACCTAATTAGTTAAAGGGCAATTCAAATGAAACTTTTATTTGGGGGATTTAGAAGTATTAAAGCAAAGGGAAAAAAAAAAACCAAACACTGCAGATGTCTAGATAGATGAACATGACTACTAATAACCCTTGGGTGGGGAAATGATTAACCTCATTATTTTCCTCATGATCCAGGTTTCTACAGCAAATCGGTGCCGAACAGAAATATCTGGATGCTGTATGGAACACAACTTTTACAAGGTCTCCAACTGGCATCAAATATTTTCAAGTATGAAAACATCTCTGGGCTTTCTCAACAGGCTATTGGATCCCTGCAGCTAGCATCTCCCTTGTTCCACAGTCCCGTCAGTTAAATCAAATTAGAGATGAAGTTTAACTCCATGATGAAGGGAATGCTCATTATAAGAGAAAACAGGAAAATGGAATATTTCCTGTAAGTGAACCATGATTTCTAATTGAATGAGGTAGAGAGGAGAGGATATCCAAACACTTCCACCAATATTCTATGCTTTATATATCATGGTCTCAGCCACTTAAAAGTAATGTAAAGAAATAATGTACACTTGGGTTCACAGAACGTTTACATCTCTCTTTTCTTTTGTTGCTTTTCTAAGAAATATCTTTACTTATTAAAAATTTTCAAGTTGTCTGAAATGGTGTTTCCTGATGTGATCTTCCATTTCAGTGGCTGGCCTACCTTTAACCTCGGACTCATCTGTCATCTGCTTTCTTAAGTGATAATAACCCACACAAAGCTATGTGCACATTAGGCCAGTTCTTATTCTAATTATGGTCTGTATAATGTTTAACATATTAGGGAAATCACTTGCTTTTCAGGACTAAGGATCAGATAATATATGCTAGAAGGTAATCATTAGTTTATCACTTTAGCAAAAACATCCACACCAAACCAACTCTTAATTTGCATCATCAGCATCAACAAATGTTCACTTGGGTAAAATTGTGAATGTTTCCTTATCAGTGCGTGATACATTTTATTAAAAAAGAATGAAACCTGAATGAATTACTGCCCCATTAGGTAAAGTAGTAACAGAGATCACAAGGCTCAAATGACTATAGATATATTTTTGGGATTCATTAATTGCTGACAATATCACCAGTATTTTTTTCAGCCATGGTCAAAAACACATCAAAATGACCAAGTTTTAAATCAAGGACCTTTGAAATTATTGGGAAGCCTATTTCCTAATAAATAGACAATAGCAGGTACAACAAATGATCTTAATGAGAAATTTGTTTCAAAAACATTTTTAGCAGATGATCTGGAAAGGATGACCACTCTGTCGATGCATTTGAACCGTAATACTGGTATTGACAGTTTGAGATCTATACTGAAATCTATCAGGGCTTGAAAATCTTTAGCCATTGTGTATATAGCATATGTATGTGAATTTATGGTTACATAAATCAATAATTTACGTCAGTAGTATATATCATTCCCTTTCCTTGAAATATGCTTTGGTGATGGGAGTCTCATGGGTATTACATCTGTTATAATGGCATTGTCTATGTACTTGGTGGAATTATGCTCATTGCTTCTTTCTTTGGGATAAAGGCCAAAGCCCTGGGAAACACCCAAACTTAGTTAAAAACCCAAGCAACTCCCTCTTCTCTAGCTTATACCTTGGAAACCTCCTTCCTGCACCCTGTGGAATAGGCCGTGGGTCCTCTATGCAGGAATTCTTGCCCTTTGGAGAGGAAAGGAATACACTAGTGCACACAAGGAACACCTTATGAGGAGCACCACAAAGAAGGAATGTGCAAATGCCATTTAAGCAGCCTAGAAGATACAATCATGTTTGATGGTTTTATCGTAAATCTCTTGACTTTAAAGCCAGCAATAGGCAAGCTAGTTGTGGGTGATGTTGGGTGACTCCTGGAAGCTTTTACATCCTGTTTGCTGGAGAAATCTGAGGAAACACCCACTGGGCTCCAAAAGGAGCTGCCAAAGGCACAATGAGGTCAGGTTACAAACTATCACTTTGTTAGAGGGTTTTCGCTAGGCATTAAGGAGTTAAATTTTCCTAGGCTCCTGATTAAAAAAAGGTTGATACATTTGCCAAAGGCACAACAAAGCATCCTTTCAGGTCACCACCCATTTCAAAATAAAACAAAGCCAAACAAAAGTGGGATTTCCTGAATCAGGGTGTAAAAGGTCAACATCTGCTGATGCTCAGAGATGGGGCATGTGGCGGAGGCGGCCGAATGAAATGTCCAGTGAGCTGTACGGTCAGAGATTCCATGCAACACATGACTGACACCGTGAACAGAAACACACCCCAGCGCCAAAGAACTGCTTTCCATCCATCCATTTCTGAAGATTGGATAGGCCAGACTGCCACAGCAGCCTCAATAGTCTGTGCCAGCTTGCTTCCATTTGGTTCCCTTTTGCTCACAAATGCATATGCAAATGAAATTGTCAAGGCCTGAAAGGAGCCTACTGTGGGGTGTATACATATGTATACACACACACACACACACACACACACACACAAAATTAGGCAAATGCCAGAGGAGATACTAAAGCAGAACCCGGAGACTACTAGAGCTGAACTTTCTCCATCTGCAAGTCTGTAGCACTGATGCCATTTCAATAAGATCATAAAGGCCATGTTGTAGCATTAGGCCGGTATCTAAAAGGATGTGAACACTACTTCTATTTACAAAGCTGCTGATTTTCATGGCATTTAACATGCCCAGTGCTTAACAAAGCTGTGTCGGGGCCTATTCACAAGCTTAAGTACACCGGGTTGCTTTACAAATTGGAAGACCTGCCTGTGCATTTGTAAGAAGGAGGAAGTTGTTTTTATCCAAATGATCAGAGTATTGCTTTCACGATGGATGTTGGGTTTTGCAACACATCAGCGGCTGTTGTTTACACTGCAATCACCCTGGGTGGCACAGCACCCATGAGGAAGTCTGGGAGGGGTGAGACCACAGTGAAAATTCTTCCCTTCACTTACAGCACATAATCTTGGCTTTCTCAGTATTCTATTTTGAATCAGTTAATCTAACAATTGTTCAAAGGTTTTAGCCATCAGAGCGAAAGGCTGAGATATATAAAAACCCTGCTCCACAAAGCTGTGGGGCATTTCCTTAATGAGCATTTCAGGCTTGGTGTTGGGGTGTCATTGTTTTCTATGTGAAGAAGGAGCTATAGTCTGTTTCTCCTATGACAGCTGGGAGGATGCTGTCTGCCATGGCAGTGGGAGTTTCAGTTGCTTCTATTTCTACTAAAAGATTTCTTGCAGGAATTCTAGTAGCCGGATTCCTAAATTCTGCATATATTTTTTAATACCCCATTCTCTATCAAACTTAAGCCTAAGTAGTCAGGAAAAGATGGATCGCTGTATTTTAGGAGGGAGAAGTGGACATACATTCTTTCATTCCTCCAGAAAACTAATGGTCGCCAACCTGCCTCTTTCAGGCCTTCACAAAGACTGGAGTGCAATACATTACTAAAATTCCCTCCCCCTGGTTTTCTTGGGTTCTAATACATATGCCTAAAGCATTTGTTGGTATTCAACAATTTTAAAAATTACAGTAGAAATCCATACCCAGTCCTAAAGAGAAAGTTGAGTTTGTTGTTGGTTACTGAGTATGAGTACACAGGACTATTTATACTTTTGCTCATGAGCTATGGTTACCTCAGTAACTGCACCTCTGTAAAGGTAGCCTTCATTGATTAAAAGTAGTCAGGAAAACTGTGGTATTAGAGGAGTTATACATGGATAACTGTTTTACCTGTGCTCTCACCATATCTGTGCACAGAACAAACACAACAGTTCAATTCACAAAGAAAATACCCTTTCCATCAGAAATGGACACTGGGAAAATAGGTCTTAGGAGCCCAACAAGAAAACAGAACTAGCCTAGACTTGGTTTGGTGATTTTCTTTTTTTTACTTACTACCAATACTGGAAATACTGGGGATACCTGGAAAGAAAGAAAACAATAAAGAAAAATTGTTAGACAGTTATTAATACATGATATCTTTAACTTAATATAAAAATCTCAGAAACTTAACACTAAATAACATTCAGATCATTAGGAAATATGCACAGAAACAGAAAGACATATATTCATCCATCAAAACCATTTTTGCTTTCATTCTAGAACTCCTGAACTTATCAGGGTTGGGAAATTAATGCTCAACTTCAACAGCTGGTTCAAGACTGCTTCATGACATCAAACATTTTGTGCCTGCCTCTAAGGTCAATAAACATTTTGTGGCACTGTATGTGGTTCAAAACAGATTTTAAGCTAGGCTTATGTTCCGGGCATAGAGTGCCAAATATACACTGTGTGGACCTGTGTAAATATCTCCACACGTGCAACAGATCTCTTTAAATGTGTTATGAGACACATATGTTAGCTGTTGAAAGTCATTTGGCCCTTTATTTGATTAATTTCGCATAACCATCATTTTTAGCCCTCTTTTACTTGTCAGATATGTGGATTAAACTCTGTAATAGAAACTTAATTGAGCAGAATAATTCAAGAATACATTAGGTTGTTCATATTGATCATGCAGTTCATCAATTTTCTCAGCTTCCTCTTTAATTTACAGGTTGTGCTAAGGTGGTGGCACCATTGCAGAATGCAATGGACTTGGTACAAACGTGGACATGAATTTAGTCTGTCCTGAGAGCAGGGGCATGGGAGCCAGGCTGCCTGGGTTTGAAGCTTTGCTCTTACACTCACTGACTGTGTGACCTTGGGCAAGTTGCTTACGCTCTCTGTAGCTTGGTTTCCTACCTCTTAGGGTTGCTGCAAAGATCACACAAATTGATACATGTAAAATACTCAAAATGCTGCTTGGCAGGTAGTGTGGACTACATCCGTCTTTACTATGATTACTGTTATTGATATAGTGGATTCATCAAGCAAGCAATACAATGAAAGATACTGCCAATTAAGAGTCAGAGATTTATATCTTCTCCACTAAAGTTGGGTAGGGGTATGGATGGGAGCATGAGATGGGAATCAGACAGAACTGAGAGGCCAGCTTTGCAACTGATTAGCTGGGTGATGACTTCAGGCAGGTTCCCCTCCTCTCTATGCCTGTTTCCTCAACTGAAGGGGGCTGATACTACCTACTGCATAGGGCTGCTATGAGGATTGGATGAAACAATCCATAAAAATGTCTGACACACGGTACACTGTCAATAAGTGATAGCTGTTAAGGAGCTGTTCAGACTTGTTCTCCACATCACTGGAGTGTGCTCCAAACAGGTGGTAAATGTAGGAATCATTAAACTTCTATTTTAGTATTTATCTTTGAACAACTGCCCTCTGCTTGTTTTAACATCTGACATTTGGCATAACCTACTTAATCATCGTAACTTACTCAGAGATTTCTAGCTGTGTATTCTTTAAAACCAAGAGCCATTTTCCTATTTCCTAATGGGGAGGGGTATGAAGGAATTAAAGCGTACCATGATTTTTTAAAAACCTTGGAAGGAGTGAAATTTTATTTTCAGTTATTAAATACATTCAAAATCTCTTGATTTTTAAATGCACAGGGTTTATGGTGCTTCAGCTTAATTACTGATTACTCTTCGACCCAAACTGGAAATCTAAATTTCCATTTCTGTGTTTTAACTCTGTCCTCTGAACTGAATTTCATGCTGAAAGCAATCTCTTCAAAGGACTGCTGAGTTCCTGACCGATACTTTGGCAGACTATCTTTGCTGCAGTGTGACAGTGACTTGGTACTGAGTCAGTCTTTCTTTCTTTCTTTCTTTCTTTCTTTCTTTCTTTCTTTCTTTCTTTCTTTCTTTCATCCCCTGTTGAGTGAGGTATAATGGCAGCATCACAATTTTAGTATCAATGGTAGAAGCTCCAAATTCCCCCATGATGGAAAATCCTGCTCCATCAGAACTGCTTGCCTTTTGTAATCCGTCAAAGAGAATGGAAGTTAGGATGGCAGAAAGAGACTTTTCGGGTGTTTTGAAACTTACATGGAGTTAGAGGGCCATGCATAATGCAAGGCGAAGTTCTCAGGATGTTTGGCCAGGCAGCTGGAGAGAGAGCGAACCTGCAAGACTATTTAATGCAGTACTTGCTGCAGCTGAATACATTAGAACGATGCAGAAATGTTTCCATTCCTTTGGGGATGCTAGCGCAGGAAGAAATGTTCACTGCAGCTGTACAAAGCTTGCCAAGCAAGGCCATTCTGAGATCTTATTTTCCTCATGAAGATGTTTTCCATTACCTGACATTTTGGATGCTTAAAATTCAGCCCCTTCCTCATTTTGTGGCTTACAATTTTTTGGGGTAGTGTCAGGTGAGTCACTTTCTATTCCATTGCTGTAAAATGGGAATTCCTTAGAAAAGCCTTTTAAACTGTTTGCTGGCATAAAGATTTTTGAAGTAGACAATATGTGAACACCAAGGGTTAGCCATTAGTACATTTTCGAAATGTTATTATTACTATTATTTTTCCAAATGTTCCTTATCGTACTGTCTAAACACCTTGGTCTGGGTTCTCTACAGACAACTAAAGAATTTAATAAACCCATTACAGTCATTAAAAAGAGTAAGGTAAGCCATGAGAAGCCTTCCAAGAGTAAGACAAGAGGGCTGTCATTCATGAAAGGTGGGCTTCTTTGGGGTCTGTAAAGGATGAATAAATGAATATAATTTCATCTGACAACACAGAAAGTGCCCATGAACCACGGGGATGAGAGTCAGATTATCTAGACACATGTTGGCAGTTCTTAATCACTCCCTGTGAAGTAATAAGTATTAGGTAAAGAATATTTTTACCCTTAAAATTGAGCTTGGAAGTTATTCTTTCCCTTCTTTTTTCATCTCCCTGATGTGAAATAGCCACTCCCTGTGATCACACACCTCTTTGTACAGGCCTCCCTAAAAAACTTACCAACTTACTTATAATTGTTTGTGTGTCTGTCTGAGAGGTCTGAAGGATAGTCAGCATGTCTCATTCCTTTCTGTATTTCTAGTATCTGCCTGGGACAATGCCTGGTACAGAAAAGCTGCTCAAAGTATATTTGAGCAAAACTTTATCACTTGTTACCAAAACAGTTTCTATCAAATGAAAATACTTTTGGCCATAATATGATCTTGTCCCCTATAAAATGTTCAACTGAGATATTTCTCAGAGTTCAGAGTTAATGGGTACTTTTGTTCTCTCTGAACATTTACTTCATTCTGATAGCCAGAGTTATACGATATTCCTTGCCTTCTAGAAAGTGCAGTGGCTCAGAACACAACCTGGTGCTCAACTGGGTAAACTCATTTAATATTTGGCTTATTTGCCTTCCATTCCTTCTTTCACATCTTTTTTTAGCCCTCTATTTGGATACTCTTATTTGTATTTGTCTTTTCCCCTAAGCCACCCAAGGCAAAGTACAGATTTTGTGGAGGTCTAAAGCATATTCAAATCTGGGAGCTCTCTTTGAGAAAAAGAATATTAACTTTAAAATATAAAATTAAATATAAAATTTATTTTTTTAAGGTTAGAAGGATTCTGATGAGGAATCCTAAAACTCAAGCTTCATTAGGTTAAACCTCACCCCTGAAACAACCTCAAAAATACTTGGGAAAGATAAACAGATGATAGGTAGACAGACAGGAAGCACGATACCAGGTAGGCTAATTCAGAAAGAGTAATTTAAAAATGAAGAGCAGACAGGGAGTTAAGAAATAATCTCATCGAGCTTTTCATTTTAGAAAAGAGGAAACTGAATGCACAAAGAGAAGAAAGAGAGAGCCTTGCCCAAGTCAACACCTTTAAATTCAACATTGGAACAGTTAATTCCTAATCCTTGTCTGATTAGACACTGCTGAACTTGCACTGAGGAAATGAAGCACAGGTATGCATGAGTTTGAGAGGAAGGGTCTGCAATACATGGTATATAGAAAATGCTCCTTCAGTCAGAGATACACACACACGTTGAATAAGCCAAAGGGTTTTGTGTATCAAAAGAATGAGAAGGCACTTATGGCTAGTCCTTCCTCAACTGGCCCTTCCACTCCTGTATTTAGTTTAATGTTTGTTTTAAAGGAAGTTGCTACAATTAGGGGGATGAGAACTTAGTAGAATTATACAATCATTTTCTTCTTCCCATTCTCCTCTTTCTCCTTCTCCTTCTCTTTCTGTTTTCAATTTTACTAACCCTCCCACCAAGTAAATGGCTAAAGGGGGCATAGTTAAGCAACGTGATGGAGATCGCAAAAATAAACATCCTAATCTTCCAAAGCAGATTAATGCAGTGCTAAGAGTCATAACTCCTTCTGAGAATCAATGCAAAGTCGGCAGCTTTTCATCAAGAGGAAATCAGAAGGGACACAGATTTGGCATGCCTCAAAACGAGAGGAAATATTACCACTGTTGTGATAGATGGTTTGAAAAAAGCCCATCAAGTAGATGGCTAGATCTTCAGGGGAAGCCAGGTTGCGGCCATCGGGAGCTATAATTTCAAAAAACCCAGTTGAAGAAGAGGTGGGTGATGAGGAAGAAAACACTCTGCAGCCTCATTTGTATTCTGGGGGAATAATTTCCAATGTCCTTCCAGCCCTAATCCCTGGTCCCACTGTGTTGATAGGAGGCACAGTGAGTTGTCTGCCGGAAACTTGAAAGTAAAGGAAATAAGGTTGCCTTCATAGAATTATAGTGTGAAATCACCATATAAATGATCCAATCAAAGATAGCTAAAGTCATCTTACAACAGAAGGACCTGAGTGTATGTGATTGACTTGACATAGGTGACATCAACCTGATGTAGCCTATTGACAGATCTGAAGAATGGAAGAATGGCCAATCAGAAGGGGGAGGCCTAGAAAGGAGCAGCATCCCAAGGCATATGGTAGCACTGCTGGCCCAGCACTGTTTCAGGAAGAGGGAGGGGCAACCTGAAAGCTTTCAGGCCTGCAGTGTTCTGTTGGCATTAAGGAGGCTGACTCTGTGG